AATAATACGGTGATAATATNNNCAGCAGGTTTTAATAACTCCCGGATGGTCATTTTACGCGTTTGGAGTGCAGTTCATTATCATCATCAAGAATGTATGTAATTTGTCTCAGCCGAGAGAACGGGACCAGTTCAGTTCACCCATGCCATTATAGCGGGAATTCTTGATTTTCATTTGTTGTTTATCAAGCAGATCATATGCCGTGATTTGTGAATATTTCAGGTGCCCCATTTCAGGAGACTTTGGTGAATTGACACCATTGTACTGTATAATTTGCATATTTTTCGATTTAATTATCGGAGGGTATTGATTCTGTGTTTAATTTTAGAGTTGATTTTGGTACATTGCCTGTTAAGCCTTTTTCGTTAAAGAGGACTGTATTGAAATCCCAGTATTGTCTTACTTTAAACGATTTAATACCCGCTTATGTACGACTACTTAGCAAAAATGAAAATCCGTTTATTTATCTACCTCAATTATTTGTGTGATTGGTGTTTTGGACAACCATCTGTGTCTTGAAATTCTAAAGTATTTATAAGCTAGGAGTCAGAAATAGGTAGTGAAGTGGTTGGTGGAGCGTGTTGACCACTTCACTTATTTGGGAAGTTGCATCAGCCAGTTCAAGCAGGTTGTTCGCTGACGAGATCTCAGCACGGATACAGAAGGCTAGCTTTGCATATGCCAGTTTACGCCGTCTCTGGCGTAGATGTAATATCCGACTGACTGTCGATCAAAGGACTTGTGTACTGCTCAGCAGCAGTATTCTCTGTCCTCCTTTATCACTGTGAATGAGACATGGCCATTGAGAGTGGAAGACATGAAAAGGCTGGCTAGCTGTCTTTGATCATAGGTGCCTGCATTCTATCTCCCGTGTGAAATGGTATAATAGGATGAGCAACCTTGAGGTTAGGCGTCGGTCGAGTGATAGGTAAGGATGGGAAATCAATCGACGAGGCTGTGAAGCTACATCGATTGAGGTGGTTAGGACATGTGTTACGCATGCCTAGCCATCATCTTCCTCAACGGGCGATGTTACCTGACATAGGATGGATCACTTGAAGATAGAGAGCCAGTGATGGTCAAACGAAAACATGGCTTCATCAGTCAATGAAATCCACAACAGTTAGTTTAACCCACATTGGGATGTGTGTACTTGTTGACTGGCTGGTTGGGGTCTTCGGTGAGGTAAAAACCAATGTCTGCAGATGATTGATGATATGGCTCAAAATCGTTCTCAATGGCTGGCGCAGATGCTTCCACTCCTTGTGATATATAAATTCCAATAAAACTATATTGTTCTTCGTTATAACTATTCTTTTTGTCTTATATCCCTGTCTGCTGTCTCTATTTTGCATTTCTTCTACTTTCTTCTCTTGCTTTGTGTGCTACAAAGGGGGAGTGTGGCAGCTTAAACTGCGGTACATGGGTGCAAAGTTCTATGTTGAAAACAGACAGACAGACATGGTAATGTTACCAGTTTGCCCACGGGGCTAACCAGAAATCTAGTGGTCTGAACTGATTCGGTTTAAGCGAATTCATTCGGTTCTTTGATCTAAGTCAAACCGGGTACACCGCTGATGATCTTGGCTGCAAATAAGCCAAACGGCCGTCCGGTGTTTAGATCACCTCGGTCTGGTTAGCAAGCACTACTGGTCGATGTGAGTAGTATTCAACTACTCATCCCAATCAATTAGCTTTCTTCATTACCATTTATGGTATCAAGCAGATCACAGATATTGTGATCTCAGTTATCTCAGTTTCCAAAGGAAACTGTGATGATGAATTTCATCCCTAGAAGTGTGTACATGTCAAATTGTCTAACCAATTAGCAAATTGTTAGTTTGGTCTTTCCAACCCTGTTGGGTGTATAAAAGAATGGAGATCAGTGTATGACAAGAAAAAAACTGAGTAAGGTGTAAGAAATCGAAATTACTGTAGCCATCCTGATGTAATAGAATAGCCTCTTAAAGGAACTCATGTCCCTTCAATGTACACCATGATGGCGAGCTACCTGGAATGCTGGCCATATTGCAAACCTGACTGATGGAATTCAGTCTTCACCAAAGAAAGGACTAGACACATCAACCTAGTTACTAGTGTCCAGTCAAAGTATCCAGAACAATCCTACAGGAGGTCAATCGCGAGCCCGGATGGCTAAGTGGCTAACGTCTCTGACTGCATCACTGGGTGACGCCGGTTCGAATCTCAGAAGAGAAATGAGTTGCTTCAAGGTTGCAAATACGCCTTGCAGACTGATGAGTGCCAGCATGCACGAAACCTAGGTCAGGCAAGGCTTCCTGCCGATCGCCTCCAACCATCTTAAACTCTGATCTTGTGCTTATTGAATACTCCCTGATATTGCCTGAATGTTTCTGGTCTATAATGGAATGACCAACTGTTCAGGTTTATATCTTCGGACATTGGGAAAATTACCCCATACTGATGAACGATTATTATTATTATTGTTTCCTTTAATTCTTAGGGGAACATAGGGCTTCAGCTGTGCGTCTCCATTGCGGTTCTCTGCTAGAGTCTTTATCTGGCTCCAAGTCTGTTCACACGTTTTCGTCTCTTCACATAACCTCCTCCAAGTCACCCTGGCACGGACGACCAACTCGCCGCTTCCCCTTCAGGTCCCACTCGAGCAATGGCTTGTCTAGTGATGTCACTTGATGGATTGTTTCCTCAGAGTATGGCCAATCCACCTTCATTTCTTCCTCCCTATTTGTCTCACAATCGGTTCTTGGTTGGTTCGCTCCCAGAGATCCCTGTTGGTGATCTTTTCTGGCCATCTGATCTTGAGCGAAGGAAGTTGTTGATGAAGGTCTGTAGTTTGTTTGAGATGCTCTTTACGACGCGCCGAGTCTCTGATCCATCCGTATAGTAGCACTGACTTCACATTGGAGTTGAAAATTTCGGATCTTATTTTTGATGCTGAGTGTTGTTGACCTCCACACAGACTTGAGACTAGTGAAAGCTTGTCTTGCTTTCCCGACTCTTGCTTTGATATCCTCGTCAGTTCTGTCCTCCTGTAGTTGAAACGATGCTTCCCAGGTAGGTAAAAGAGGTTGTTTCTTTCAGGTTCCTTCCATTTATGCTGACTATTGTCTGTTGTTGTTATTCTTGTCCAGGAATCTTCATTACCTCTGATTAAGTTGTTACGTATATAGGCTGAGATTTTGTAACTTCTGGTTTAATATTACTACTTTGATAAAGCTATTAGAGGCATTCAATTGAAAAAAAGTCAGTAAAACGCGATAATATCGTTTTGTTTTTCATTCATTGGGAAATACAAGAACTTTTATAGCAATGAATATCACATATATATACCACCCAATGGTCAAATTTTTCCAAACTTTCAGAAGTAAACTTGATTTGGACACATGTAAGTTACTCTATTTTTAAAACCTGTTAATCTGTATTTTCTTTTTTTTTGTTTGTTTGTGTGTATAGTTGATTAACCTGCTTCGTATACTTTTGGGAAATGCTGGTGACTCTGGTTTAGATGATTATATACGTAAATTATTTTTCCTTTCTGGTCAAGATCAAAAACCATCCTCCTTGCATAATGATTTATATCAACCGAATGATTCCCTATTGACTTTATTCCAATTAGCCAGTGGAACAGATGATTTAACTGCTTCAGTTGCACTAGATTTACTCGATGAACTTGTAAAAATTGTAAGTTGTGATTATAATTTTCCCCAATTGTTGTCTTTGATTTTTATACTTAATGTAGTATATTACTATTACTATTATTACTACTTCTTTGGGTTCCGGGTGGAACATTGGACTTCAGCAACACATCTGTGCTTCACCCTGTAATCTGCTGTTTGCTTAACCTGTCTCCATGACTGCCCACACAATCTCTTTCATGTCACCATCTAAGAGACGCCTATATCGCCGTTTTGCATATGGGTTCCACTCAAGGGCCTGACTCGTGGTGTCACTCAGTAGTCTCCTCGGCGTGTACCCGGTCCATCTCCGTTTCTTTCAGTATGTTTGGTGAACGATATGTTCTTGGTTGGTTCGTGTCTACAGTTCTTTGTTGGTAATTCTCTCTGGTGTGCCATTTGATCTTCAGCATTGAACCAGAGAAGGAGCAGTTATTGATAAAAGTGTGCAACAGATTGTTGGAAATGCTTTTCGTGATACACTAAGTCTCATGTGCCTGTGACACTGCAAAATACAAACGGGCTATCTTATTCTTAATGTTACATTACATAGATTCCAAAACCTTATGCCTAAATATTGCGGAGATGTAGCTCATTGCCGACTATTGGGTCTTAGATTCGAGTCTCACTTTTCCCATTTCAACCTGGATAATGGGATAGTTGTATCATCAGCTCTCAGGTAATAATTAAGTTGCTCATAGCCCGATGCTGGCTATTTGAGTCGTAATTACTGACTAACTGCGTTAAATATCAATGCTTGACTATTATTTAAGTGTGTCCCATGTTCTCATGCACTTGACTTTCAACTGTCAGTTTCCGCTTACAAACCTTTTCCCATTCCGCTTCTGCATGAATAGCAGGACTTCACACGATGTGGTTCACATCTTAGTGTAAGTAGGGCCTCAATGATACATCTCTATTACAGTCAGTTCTCTGCTATCACTTTTTCATCTAGCTCCACGACTATCCACCATTTCCTCCTTACATGATCTTCCCCGTTTCATCCACAAACTCACCCAACTCGTCGCTCTCAATTCGGGATCCTCTTGGGAGTCTGGTGTGTGATGTTACCTGAACGTCTCCTTAGTGTATCTTCACAAATCATCTGCATTTCCTTCTGCGTATTTCCTGGATGGTGATTCTCTGTGACAGTTCCTTGTTCTTTATCCCTTCTGACCAACTGTCTGATCTTCAGTATCTGGCGAAGGCATCTGTTGTTGAAAGTCTGCGCTATGTAGCATGCTGCAAATGTTTTTACTGAGCCATAAATCCTGTGAATTATGTAGAAACACTGACTTGACTGGCAATAGTGTTGAAAATTCGGTTGGTGTTCCTTGTGCGAAATATTGTGGATCTCTTCATTGATTTCAAAGTAATGCATACTTGTCTTGCTTTTCCGATCCTGATTGGCTATGACATCCTGATCCATGTCGCCTCTAAATACACGTATGCATGCCATAAATATACGAATATGTAGTAACAGGCGGTTGGTTTGCTTCATTAGTTGTAGAGAAGGTATGTGGTTTTTCAGTTCAAGCAACTGACTTTCAAATACAAGCTCATTGATTAAAACATCATCGCTTAAATTAATTAATTAATTAGTTAAATTGTACACTTGATACATACTGAGCACCAAGAGATGCTCCGCACAATATGTCATAGTTTGTACAGTGCCTGGGATACTGCCCGGATGTCCAGACCCGAGATAGGTTCTTGTTTTAAGGAGCCACTTGACTTGAAGTCTATCTAATCCCCACAAAGTAGTAGAGTAGTGTCAGGAGCTACGTTCTTATGGTTTGCGGTGACCGAAACTGGTTCATCCATCATTCGATCCATACGGGTCCTGGAGCTCATGAATACCATAGGTTTCCCAGCTCCCTACCCAGGTAGACTTGCATATCTACCAGTCCGGTTGTAAACGCTAGATGTTCGCCCTCACCGTTTCACTTCTGTGAAGAACACCGCCTACCTATCACTGCTATCCATCTCAGACTGTAGTACCAATCTTCGTACATTCAGTACGGTCTAATTCCAAGTGTATAAAAATTATTATTATTATTCACAGCCCAGCCCTCAGTTAGAGAAACACGTTGGAATTGCTGGTAACTATGTGCATCTTTTCAACCAATTCTAGAGTACATCAGTCTGCTTACTCCTATCAACGTAACATTGCATTCTCGCTTAATATCAAAGATACTTTGTAGTATTTGTGACGCCTCTTCTAAGGCGAACTTCGTTAGCCGCATTTCTCAAGCGTAGGATGAATCATAATAGAATAATTGGGTTAGGATATCTTCAGGCCTTAATAGCTTAATTACTTTACATTCTATAAAGGTGATATGAGTTAGCCAAGGCTGAAAAAGCTTTCTTGTAATTTCTGAGATGTTTTTTTCCACTGTGTCACGTTGTAGGACATTTGATCGGCAGGAAGAACTAGACGTAATATAACCTTTTAGATCGAAATAAAATGTGCCATTGATCTAGGTCATATATTGCTTAGAATTTCATGATACAATAACAGAAGACGAGGACCAGGCAACAGATCGTTTATTAAGGAAAATCAACACGTATTTATAGATTTTAATGTACATTATTGTAGATTATTGTTAGTAGAAAATACAGTCTTTTGATTGGTTGTTTCTCACAGAATGTTAACCTTGCATTTCTTTATGGCTGTATCAGATCATCCATATGCTAACTGTATTTGCCTACGCAAAGCCTTTGTTCTCATTTTCTCACCACCAATATTGGGGACATAAACATTGACGTCAATTACTGTCTACCAGCTTTGGCTAGCTCCCAGCTTTCACCACAGTAGGACATTCAATTGGCAGGAAGAACTAAACGTAATATAACCTTTTAGGTTGAAATAAAATGTGCCATTGTTCTAGGTCATCTGTTGCATAGAACTTCATCACTTTTGGTTAACAAGTTGGTAGCGAACGAGCAGTATTATTGACAATCACTTAGTGTATGTGGGTCATAATTCAGTGTGCAATACCCTACAGGATCAAGCAGAAAACTGAACTATGATAACTTGTTTATGCGGGATTTCGCTGTTTGTCACATTTCAGTTGTAACCCAGTTTAGGGAGTTACTCCATGAAAATTTATTCTTAATAAGATTTGAAGGTACTCGTTTGATCCCCGGTGAAGGTCATAGGACGAAATAGCTATCCAGTAAAAATTGGTTTTTGTTGGTTACCTCTCATAGGAGGGTTACCTTGACTTATAAGGTATCTAAAGTTTTAGGCTCAGTAGACTACTTGGTACGCGAAAGAAAAACAAATACGAGGAAACCAAGCAGGCTTTAGGCCAAAAATAGGGTGTATTAATTATATCTTCACCCTCCGACAGATTCTGGAACATGAGCATATTTACGGGCATCCAAAAATCGCCACATTTATTGACCTGACTGCGGAATCTCACTCCGTCGACCTAGAGGTTATTTGGCTACGTTTGTCCGTGAAGAGAGTGCTGAGAAAAAACATCGCATTTGTTACTATCAGGGAATCATCTCATTGACTTGGAATATGCGGATGATATAATTTCTTCTAGGTAAAGATACTTGTAAAGTGCAGAGTCTTTTGAACACTTTGAGGAGCAATCCTGATATGTTTGGCAGGCGATTCGCCCCCACCAAATGTAAGATGATTTTAGGATCAAACTGTACAGACTCTCGCTTAAAGATGGGGAGTAAGGCGGTAGGGCGTGTTGACCACTTCACTTATTTGGAAGTTTGCATCAACCCCAGTGGGCCAATCGCTGGCGAAATCTTAACACGGATATAAAAGGCTCGTGTGTGATTTGCTAACCTGCAGCATCTATGGCGTAGACGTGACGTCTGACTGGCTATCAATCAAACGACGTGTGTACTACTCAGCAGTCCGCTCCATCCTCCTTTATGCCTGTGAGACATGGTTATCGAAAGTGGAAGACATGAAAAGGCTAGCTGTCTTTAATCATTGGGGTCTGTTTTGTGTCCAATGTTAGGTGGTATAATAGGATGAGAAATGCTGATGTTGAACGTTGTATCAGGCAAAGAGGGCAAGTTAGTCGATGACGTTGTGAAGCTACATCGATTGAGGTGACCAGGACACGTGTTACGCATGCCTAGCCATCGCTCTCCTCGGTGGTCAGTGTTAGCTGACACAGGATTACGTTGTGAAAGACCTAGTAGTGGTCAAACCAAAACATTGAATCGGTCAATGAAATCTTCGACAGTTAGTTTTAGCCAGCCACCTGAGGAGGTGTAGACTTCCTGACTGGTTAGGGTCCTCGGGATTGTAATAACCAATGGGTGGAGACAATTGGTGGCGCAGATGCATTTATTCTCTGTGATCTACCTTGCCGAAATTAATCTATTGCTTTTCTGTATTACTATTCTTCCTCCCTCACATTTATGCCTATAGTTGTGCCTCCAAATGTTGTATTATTTGTACTTTTATTGAATTACTTAGCTTGTATTATTTCGGCGAATTATTTAAAATTTATAATCTTACTTACTTGAATTTTAGCCCAATCAACAAGATTCTACCAGTGTCAGTATACCTCGCGACTTTTTATTCGTCAAAACTGTTGAAGCACTACGTAAAATTGGTGATTCTTCAGATTCACTGAAATCAAAAAGTGATTGCCATTGGAATCAACAGTCAATCTCAGGACGTATCTTTCGTACACAATTGTTACTTCGACATTTAAAACACTTGGTTAGTCTTTTCCAGGTTGATGCAACAACAGAGCCAACACTAAGTGTAACCGAATCGGATATTCTCTGTCAGATACCGGTTTTAAGCAACTTTTTATGTCAGTTAGTGCATAATCATATGGACAGTAATCCACTTGTCGGAATTCTTTTGAATGATGAACACGAAAATCTACGTCTTGATTGTTCTACAGTACTCACGAATAAACTGGACGCTGATCTATGGTATGTGACCAAATTTTTTTTCTTTTATCTGTATCATTCACGTTCCCAGTGGTGGCACAGCGGTCCGGGGTTCGATCCCCTGCCTGCCGACGCACACCTGATATCTATGGTCGGCCTGCAAAATTTGCGCTACCGATATCATCTTGATCAGTGATCTTCGTATGTTTGGCATGCGATTCGCCCCTGTAAAATGTAAGATGCTGCTGCAGCAATGACTGGACTACGTCAACTCCTAGCTTAGTGATAGGGAGTGAAGTGATAGAACATGTTGACCACTTCACCTATTAAGGAAGTTGTATCAGCACGGATCCAAAAAGCTTGAGCTGCTTTCGCTAACGTACACCATCTATGGCGTAGGCGTGACATCCGACTATCAACCAAGGGACGTGTGTACTGCTCAACAGTTCACTCCGTCCTTCTCTATGGCTCTGAAACATGGCCAATACGAGTTGAAGACATGAAAAGGTTGACTGTTTTTGACCACAGATGTTTACGATCTCTTTCTCGCGTTAGGTGCTGGTATAATAAGGTAAGTAATGTTGACGTTAGGCGTAAATTGTTGGGCAAAGAGGGAAAATCAATCGAAGAGGCTATAAAGTTACATAGATTGAGATGGCTAGGTCACGTGCTGCGCATGCCTAACCATCGCCTCCCCCTCCCGACGGGCATTACTAGCTGATATAGGTGCAGGTTGGAAAAGAGTAAGTGGTGCCATGCCAAACAAAAACATGGCCTCATCAATCCATGAAATCCCTGACAGTTAAACTGAGTCAGGTAGGGAGATGCAGACTTCCGGGTTGGGGCCCACCCTCGGGACTCTAAGAATCAATGGCTGGAGACAATAGGTGACATGGCTCAAAATCGTTGTCAATGGCTTACGCAGATGTATTCAGTCTCTGTAATCTTTCATATTCCTTTCTACCACTACTCATTCTGTTTCACTCTTATACTTGTCAAAACTCTATTGATTCTCTTCACTCAACTTCTTGTCTACCTTTGTGTGCTATTTGGAACGTGGCAACTGGAACTGGTGCACTTCGGTGCGAAGTTCTATGTTGAATGCAGACAGACAGACAGACACCGATATCATATGCTGAAAGTTCCATACCTGTACCAAAAATACGGTGTGAAATGAAGCTGTAATCAAAAATAAATAAATATAATAAGAGTTTGGACTTCAGGCTTAAGCTTAGAAGCCTTAGTAGCAATGGTTTTATTTTTTTTCTTACAGGGTGTGGTTGCTAGTCAGCCTCACGGCCAACCTTCCCTCTTTACCGTACTTATCACCAGATAAGCGAGGTCTAGGAGTGAGTCGGCTGGGGATCGAACCCTCGATCCCGTGAATGGTTGGTGATAAACTTAACACTGTCTGATAATATTCACAGTGCCAAAGAAAAAACTGTTTATGAGTCTTGCATTCAAAGGTGAAACAATTTCTGAATTGATTAAAAATCGTTTATCTAAATGCATTAAACGTACTTTTCCTGCAGCTGACTTGCAAGTAGTTTTTACCAGCCGAAATATTATTAGACAATGCGTCAAGGATAGATTACCGCTTATGTTCACATCTATGTACATTTACTCGTTTACCTGCTCTTGTGAAGCTGTTTATATTGGACATTGTAAGCGTAATCTCCGAAAACGTGTAGCTGAACACTATCCAGTCTGGTTAATGAAAGGCAAACGAAGAACTGCGAAGTCGTCTATTTGTGATCACCTGTTAGAGTCTGGTCATTCACCCCCGATGTTATTCATCGTTCAGGGTTATCTACATGGCAAAATTGAATCGCTCCAGAAGTTTACGTTTTCTTCACTTATGCATAACCGAAGCTTTATCTGTTCAAAAACGTTTTGTGAAAACCCCTTTCTTTACCTTGGTCATAGTAATGTTCTTTCTAGTTTTTAATTTATTTTATTTTACCACTTGAATTCTTTCCACTTCACTTCACATCTTCATTCTTATCGTAATCGTACTCCTAATTTTTTTAAATTTTTAGACAGCATTTGAATTTTTTTGAAAATTTTGATATCAATTCACTTATAAAACAATCTTTAATAATTTTGTAATTTGTCCACTTCAACTCTACCGCTTATAACATTTTAATTATCGTTATTCTTATCACTTATATATGTATATTGACTGAGCAAATATTTAGTGCCACTTAATAACCTTTTCTGTAATAATAAATACGACTGTACATTTTTGATTTGACGCTAGTAACTAGTGTGATGCGTCTAGTCCTCTCTTTGGTGCAGACTGAATTCTATCAGTCAGGTTGTAATGTGACCACCATTCTAGGTAGCTCGCCATCACGGTGTACATTGTTTGTGATGATATTAGATGGTTGGAGGCAATTGGCAGGAAGCCCTGCTTTGAACTCATGTCCCTTCAATGTGCACCGTGATGGCGAGCGACCTAGAATGGTGGCCACATTGCAAACATGACTAATAGAATTCAGTCTGCACCGAAGATAGGACTAGACACATTACACTAGTTACTGACTAGTGTGCAATCAAAAATATCCAATAAAGTCCTACAGGAGGTCAGTCGCGAGCCCGAATAGCTCAGTGGTAACGTCTGTGACTGCAGCACTGGGTGACGCGGGTTCGAATCTCAGAAGGGACATGAGTTCCTTCAAGGTTGCAGATACACCTTGCAGACTGGTGAGTGCCAACTAGCACGAAACCTAGGTCCAAGGCTTCCTGCCGATTGCCTCCAACCATCTAATATACGATTGTACAGCTTGAAAATGAAGTCGTTGAAAAGAAATTTCTCCGCTGAACAAAAGAATACTTTGTTTTTACTTATGAATAAATGAATATTCACTTTAACTGATGATAGTCCTATTCTCTCATTCATATCTGCTTTTGTTTCTTTGTTTCAGTCTACTGTCGTGTGCACTGTCAGCTGAAGCATTAGGCTTATTATTTCAATGCACTGAATTATTATCCTTATGCGCTCCGATTACATCACAAGATGATGAAGAAGTATCACTGACACAGAATACACCGGATAAATTAAAGCACACGGAAAGTAGTGATATCAAGTTTACACAGAATGTTGCTCGTCAATGTGGTCATGCTCTACAATCGCTTCTGGAACGACCTGAAACTCCAGGTTTATTAGCTTTATGCTTGACAACATCTAGTCCATTTTGTCAAAGTGATGGTATCATGGGAATGGGATTACAAACACGTGATGATGTCTTTCGACTGTTGAATGTTGCTCGTCATGTTGAAAAATTTGATAATGACCGGTAAGTATTAAGTGTAGTGTATTTGTAGTTTTTTTTGGGGGGGGGGATTCCTCTTTCCAGTAATTTTATTAATTACCTGACCAATATCACATGTTAAGTGATCCACAGTGGAAAATAGCGAAGCCCCTAAAGTGAAGACAGGACTTAGACAAGGCTACCTCACTATATCACCAATGACATTCCTAATTATGGTAGACTGGATTTAGCGGAAGACTATGTGCAGCGAGTAGGCAGGAATATGTCACTTCTTCTACACGGGTTAGAAGCTTGTCGCGTCGTGAAGATCATTCCTAAAAGACTACTGCGGACTTCTTTTATCAACAGCTGGCTTCGCTGGCTAAATGCTGAAGATTAGGTGGCCGACCAGGAAGAATTAACAACAAAAAACTCTGGCTGGGAACAAACCAATCAACAGTCCATTGCTCTACCAGCAAATATGCAGAATGAAAGTGAAGATGGGTTGGACGCATGCTGAGGAGATCGTCGAATGACATCGCCCACCAGGTCAGTGCTCGAGTGGAACTCGAATGGGAGACAGCGAATTGGACGTCGATCTGAGGTTGGTATGGAGGAGAACGTATAAGGAGGAGGAAGTGTAAGCTTATGGGAAAACGTGGGGCCAGACGAAGAGGAATTTAGAGAATGGAGCAAAGTGGAGATGCGCTGTTGAAGCCCTATGTTCCACTCGGAACTCGAGGGAGTAATAATATAAAATAACATACAATGGAAATTATTCACAACTTGTTTCATGAATCTAGCCAGTCGTTTTACTTCTAAAAACTATTAAATGGTAGGATAAATACAAAGTTGTTAAGATTATTGAATATTAATTAAAGCGTGATTGTGACATCGTAATGGTGAATAGTTATGTGCATGAAACAAAATGCTTAAAGGACTAATTTTCAAGTAGTGATGAAGAGTCCCAAACTAGGACGAAACAGCTGCCCAGTACTCTCACGTTTTCCAGTGGTTCTCTAACTGATGTCAGTTCATGATAAAATCCTCCATCCAACTAAAGGACTAATTATTATCGAAAAGAGTACGGAAAGAGAAAAGATGTGTTGTATAAGAGGTAGTAGGGTTATTATCGTTTATTCTTATTATTAGTATTATTGTGACTGACCTTTACCTTTCAGCATAGAACTTCAAACAGAAGTGTAAAAGTTAAAGTTGCCAAAGTTCATGTACACCACATAGTGCTCACTATGTGCGTCGGTGGCACAGTGGTTAGGACTCTCGCCGACCATGCACATGGTCCGGGGTTCGATCCCCTGCCAACGCACACCCAATATCTATGGTCGGCCTGTAAAATTTGGGCTACCGATATCCATCTTGAAAATTCCATACCTGTACCAAAAATACGGTGTGGAATCAAGCCGTAATCAAAATAATAAAAAAAATTATACCACTTAACACATGAGATAGAACACAAACATATGTCATTAGAGGCAACTAGCCTTTTCATGTCTTTCACTTTCAATGGTCATGTCTCACGGTCATAAAGGTGGATGGAGCGAATTGCTGACGAGTGCATACGTCCTCTTATCGATATCAAGATTTCACGTCTTCTCCAGAGATGGCGTAAGTTGGTTGGCGTATGCCAAACGAGCCTTTCTTATCCGCGCTGAGATTTCGGCAACTATCAATCCGTTAATCCACATTAGTTTGTTTATTAGATGTATCACACAGTGAAACACTATTATTTACTGGATGACGTTTCATAATCATATCATCAGTTATAATCACACGACTTCGAAACTTGAGTTTTATAGTTTTCTTTGTCCTCTCCTATTTGTCGTAGGGGTGGTAGAATTTCCCAGATATCTAGCTGGACAGGTGTTGAATCATTCCCTATTACATGAATTTGCAGTTGATTCGATAAACAAAGCTTCTGTTATCAATCTCTCTCTCAATCCTGTGACACTAGATTTTAAAACTGTCATCTTATCCCATCCTATTGTATGATTGTGTGTAATTACATGTGGTGGGTGCTATAGCTGAACTATTCTCTAGATTTCTTATCTTATTTGGATCAACCAATCTAGATTTTGGTCGTTCCATTATGGGTAAATTTTATTTTTATAGAGTCTCACAGTGTTATACAGTAATATTTACTGATGACGTTTCGAGCACAATTTATTGCTCATAATCATATCAAGTTGGTCGGCTTGTCTGACTGACCCCGTACGATTACTTTGAACTATGTATTTGACCTGACAATCATTGCAAGGTATTAGATAAACTAAATTTTTTTTATTTAAATGGCTCCACAGGATCCTTTAAACCGACAAATCTTGTCTCTAATTAAGTTTGTGGGTTTGAATGCCATTTTTATTCCTGCCTGCATTGTTAAGAATTCTCCGTGAGGTTTCCGAGGTTCTTTCCTTGCATGGAATTACTACTGATGATTTAGATTCCTTATTCTTGGTGTTATCTTGCACATGTTTGACATGTATGTCGTCATTAACATTATTATTATTATTATTATCACTATCACTATTATCATTATTTATTTTAGTTTTACATTACCCAGCATACTTTCTGACTAATTTATCAGGGTAATTATCAAGTTCCAAAGCTTCTCTTATATGCCTCATTTCCTTGGTACTACTTAGTTTTTGTGCTCTATTATTAAAACATTTTGGTTTGAATGCCAACCAATTTTATTCCTGCCTTGTTAAGAATTCCGTTTAAAATGTTCGTAGACTGATTTAACCACCGGGTCTTAGATTATTTCGAAATCATTGTAACCGTTATTTTCTTCGTCAATCCTATGACTACGATACATTTTCTAGATTAGTGTAATTAATCTAATTGGGCGTATACACTACCTTTCATTGGGACGTCAGTATGTTTGTTCACCTAATTAACCTCGGAGCAGAATGAAAATGTTTCCCTAGATCTCCTTATTATTAATTATAATTATTATTATTATGGTAATTTCCCAACCTTAGTTTGAATAATCGCTTCTTTATTTTCTCTATTTTTAGGTTTGTTTTCCTTTTCGACCAGTTAATAAATCCCTTTGGTGTCAGTGGAAGTAAAGTGTTAAAGTATTTGTCAAATGAAGAATTGCGCACCAATACACCAAAGTCACCTTTCCTATATAAATGGTTTCGTTCCCTTGTCACTGGTGGCACCGACAGTCTGAGACATGTTCATCGATCCAGTGACACAATGCTTAGTATTGCTGAATCACCTGGTACAGAAACACTAGAAAGTAATGTTGACAAGTATCTAGCTAATTGGAAATTAGCTGAAGGCGATCAGGTATGCTCGTGTTTCTACTTTTTTTTTATACTACTTGTATTGTTGGAGTAAATGATTTTTTTATTATATGGTTGAAGGCGATTGGCAGGAAACCTTGCCTGACCCAGGTGTATCTGCACTAGTTAGTGTCCAATCAAACTATCTGATACAATCCCCTACAGGAGGTCGATCGCGAGCCCTGACACCTCACTGGTAACGTCTCTGACTGCAGCACTGGATCATGCGGGTTCGAATCTCAGGAATCCCCTCTTGCTGACTGACTGGTGAGCGCCAACAAGCACGAAGCCTCGGTCCAAGCAGGGCTTCCTACCTCCAACTTGCCTCCAACCAACTAATAACAAGAATTCTGAGTGCACCGTGATGGCGACCCACCAAGTGTCATGGTGGGACAAATTGTAAACTTGACTGACGACACTAGTTAATGTCCCGTCGAAGGAATAAATGTTTACAGGATTTCATCATAAGCTGACATTAGTTAGAGAGCCATTGGAAAACCTGGGGGTGCTGGACAGATGTCTCCTCCGTCCTAGTTTGGGACTCTTCAGCAGTACGCACCCACCACCAGGAGTTTGAACCCAGGACCTTCTGGTTACAAGGCTTGCGAGCTCGTATACCATTTAGCCACTGGGACCCGATCCAATGGCCCATGAATTCTAACTTGTACCAATTCATGACATAGCGCGACCCCTAGCCAATGTCTTCGGCGAGTATTTGTCCTCACACCAGCCGACCTGCTGCACCCTACTGGTCACGGCTTCTCACTGGAACCCCAGGTAACTACCTACCTAAATAGGGCAAGTGGCTAGTGAGCACCTCATTGATATTCAAGTGTTGGTTTTCAGGGATTTGATTGGTTACAGGATTTCATCATGAGCTGACATTAGTTAGAGAAAGAGAGAGAGAATGCTTTTATTCCATACTATCATTATGACGATAATAATACAAAGTAGTAGTTTCGCGATGTCATGTTAGGCGATAAATTCATGAATAATATTTTTTTTCTGAAGATTCATACTTTTACTAGAAAACAAATTCTTATCTTCTGTACTGATGCGAATTCTGTTCGCCTGTTTTTTTCCGTAAGTTAAAAAGCAACGGCTTGTCCTAGTTGCCTCAATCAGTGGGGTCTCATAACCTGCTTGATTGACTTTCCCTCCTTGCATAACACTATTTCTAACAGCATTCATTATCAATTACCCTATGTTTCTATTTAACATGATCAGTTAAACCTTCATTCACCACGTCCTACGGAATGAACTACTGCTCTGAGCTTGTTATTCTGAAGCAGACTGAGTAGTCCCCTGTAAAGTTCATCCTTTACTTCCTTCTGTGTGCGCAGAGATCGCGTCTGATATTGAAGAGTACGAGAAAATATAGACGATTATCGTGATGTTTCTGTTTGTTCTTACAAATTCATTCAGCTGGACAGCAGATACCCACACACACACACACACAGACACCCGCATGACTGTCCACTTAGATCCAGTCTAGTAGTAAGTTTTCCACTCGTGACTTCAATGCTATCCGTAAACCAATAATCTGGCGTAAACCAGTTAAAGAATCTGCTAACATTCTGTATGATGGATTTCTCAGATTTAGCATACTGACCAGGTGTAGGTTAAGTCAACACTTAAATCACTCTATCGGGCCTGTTTGTGTCATTCAGTCGGTGTTCAAAGTTCTATTTTTCAGCTACTGCCATGATGGTAAGAGGCCAAAAGCAATGTTTCTCTGGCCTAATTTGTCGACAACAGCCACAAAAGCTGACGCAACATTCTCGGGAATAGTAATTGCAGTAGGAAGGTAAGCAAAAAGGATTGTTTTATACGCAGCTAAGCACACCGTAAAGTGTGATTTCTCCTATTACTACGTCAAAGGGATCAGGAACAACTTCTTGAGGTGCATCGTTCATGGCTCGTTTGGAGGTAGGGTTTATAGAGGTCCTCACAAATGAATAATCGAGCCTCTGGCAACGAGCTGCTATAGGATAAAGCAAGTTAAGGGGGTGTGTAGCTTTTCTAACTGCTCCCTCCCTTCAAGAATGGTTAAACGGGTGGTATATGTTTAAGGCTATTACTATTGTTAAGCGTCTACTCTGTGGTAGTATGACTACATTCTCGGATCCATACCTCATTGTAAGCAGTCTGCACTCTGTGATTTTAACTAATCACCTTTAATCCAATGACTATTCAATCAATTTTGCGAAATGGTAGGTCAGACCAGCAAGAAATATTCCTTTTATGCAGTCTACCTCACTAAATCATGGCGATGTACTACCCCCTAAGACTACAGTACTAAGGTAGTAGTTGTCAGTTAGGATTAATTAACTATCTGTACTTCAGCGAGCATCATTTAAGTCTCTTTGTTCTTGCGAACAGTGTATAAGCCTTCCCGATTGTCGGATTTTTGTTAGAAATCATTTTTTTAAATACTTTAATTTGATATATAAGTATAGAACTTGAGTACTGTGGTAGAGTGTAATTCCATTATGGATAAGATTTTGTTTTGATAAATCACACAGTGTTATACAGCAGTAATATTTACTGATGAGTGTTTTTATAGTCAAAATAAATAAGTAACTTGTTAGAATGTTGTGATGTGGGTGAACTGAAATCGAATTTTGAGATTATTTATTATCCTCCTCTGCTTTGACTGACTGGTGGTAATAATATCTTCCATATTTTGGTATTTGCATTGAGTCATTTCTGTTGCATGTCTTGGGTGTAAATTCAATGAACCAGGATTCAGTAATCAACGTCTCTCTCCACCTACTTATATTACTTCTTAGAATCTTAACCCTCTCCCACCCTTTTGTGTGATTGTGTGTTAATATGTGAAGTGCAATTGCTGAGCTTTTTTCAAAATTACTTATCTTTTCGGGGTCAACCATTCTTACCTTAGCTAAATTCTTATGTTCCGACAATCTAACTACCCGCGACCTACTAGTTTCACCTATGTAGTTGACCTCACTCACAGTCATTGCAAAGTATTTTGTAAATTATATTATTTTGTCTAATTGGGTCTACTGGGTCCTTTAACCTACAGAGCTTGTCCTATCTGAGTGAGTTTGTAGGTTTAAATACCACCTTAATTCCTGCTTTATTAAAAATCCTATGTAGGCCCTCAGATGCCCCCCCGCTTAAATGGTATAACTGTAGATGACTTATATTCTATCTTCTTAATGCTATCATTACTATTTTCACAATTATTTTTAATTTCATTTTGGCCTTTTCTGATCTTCCTAATGAATTTTAACACCAACGCCTCTTCTATCTGTTTTATTTCATCATTTAAGTCTTTTCTTGTGCTACTTAGTGCCATTGCTCGGTTTGTTAAACATTTAACTAAGCCTGCCTTAATTTGATACTGTTAACAGAGGACTGATGAGTACTGCTTTGTAGTTCAAGTTGTTATCTATCGTATCTATGAGCTAAGTGGAAAACAACAAAAAAGAGAAGAAATGAAGGTGACATAATCGAAGTTCGTAAAAGGCTTTATGACAAAACAAGATGAAAAAAGTAGTAAGTTGTGAAGAAGTGGAATGTTGTAGTTGAGATAGGATTGAATTACGACGGCAGTTTTTTCATTCCTTTGCTTTCCAAGTAGAATAAAAGGCTTCAAGCGTGAGCTATGAAGTGTCAGTAGCGGTGGTGTTATTCCGTTGTTATTAGGTGAGATTGCGAGCCTCACGTCCAACCTTCCCTCATTAGTCAGTATCAACATGTCGATGGGGTGATAACTAACGAACATAATTAATACACACAATTAAAAGGTAGAAATGGCTGCAACACATGGATTGCGTAATGCATAATTTGGGAAAGTTGAATAGTAATTAAGGAATAAGTCTGCGGACAGGTTGACTACGTAACAGATTGTTAAAGAAAATAGAACGATTTGGACAATGATAACTTGTAACTAAGGTCGAAGTAGTCAGAAAAATAAAATAATTTGGACAATTATAATATGTAAAGGTTCAGGGGGAGGAGTGGGGCGAAGTAGTTCGGTTTATACATTCATGTAACGATGGCCAAGGCAAGGAAAGTGGCTGTACAAATTTCTTCTGAACAGATAGGTTTGGCTTCTTCAGGTGTATTTAAAAGACGACCTTGTAAAGCAAAATTAAGATTAGTAGGAATGCGATAAATAATTTTAAATACAGTATTAACATCAACCTTATACTCACTTTCTACAAGGTGTGCTAAAATAGAACTACGAATAGATCTTGTTTGTCCTCCCTTGCTTAACCATGCTGGATGATGTTCAGAAATACGATGATGGACCTGCCTGATTGTACGCCCAATGTAGCTGGCTCCGCAGCTGCAGTCAAAGTGATAGATACACATAGAGGAGTCAAATTTAAGTAGGTCTTCTACATACAGCTGAAGGAATAGGAATCCACTTGAAGAAGCCAAACCTATCTGTTCAGAAGAAATTTGTACAGCCACTTTCCTTACGCTGGCCATCGTTACATGAATGTATAAACCGGACTACTTCGTCCCACCCCTCCCCCTAAACCTTTAAAAATTGTAATTGTCCAAATTATTTTATTTTTTCTGACTACTTCATCTTTAATTACACGTTATCTCTGTAAAATTATTTTATTCTCATGACCACTTCACCTTTAGTTACAAGTTATCATTGTCCAAATCGTTCTATTTTCTTTACCAATCTGTTACGTATTCAACCTGTGTACACGCTTATTCCTTAATTACTCTTCAATTATGCATTACGCAATCCATGTGTTGCAACCATTTCTAGCATGTAATTGTGTGTATTGATTTTCTTTGTTAATTATCACCCCATCGACATGTTGATACTGACTAATTATTGTTAACAAACATATCAGTGCCACTTGATTGGTAAACTGTTGTGTATTGTAATAAAAATGCTATCTTTATTAGAGTAGAGCCTAAGTGAGATGACGATCTAATTGAAAATTAAATATTTCTTCGCCCAATCTTTCTGTTTTCTAACTTTAAATGGAAATTTTTTCAAAATAATTTATGAACACATAAACGGGTTGAAGCTTTTTCTAGAGCTCCGTAAATTTTATCGGATTCAAGAACAGTGTTGTAGTTAACTTTATGACGCGTCTGTATGCGATAAGTGTGACGCTAGACATCCTATTTCTAGGATCAATTGAATTAGGCTACTGTATTTGTCCTTGCAACCCGTAACCTGTATAAATCAATGGTTTCTCGCTAGGTGTATGCGACTACACATACATGATGTAAAGTTGATAAACACACTGGGATGTTAAGCCATTCTTCAAATGCTATGAAGAACGGTTTATTTACATGACAACATAAATTTTGTTTTCTCTATGAAAAAAAATCTGTTTAGCTGCATACACTTTGTTAACTCTTGCATTTTATTTGCATTGTACTTTACTGCTCCCCAACGCATTAGTCTTTCCCGGGTTATTCAAAACAGGACTATGTCATGTTGTGCAAGTTATTTAAAAGTTGTCAGTAGGGCCAGTGGTGGGCGCCACTAAGTCACCTCGTTATCATTGTAGTCGACAGACACCTGAACTTATGAGAGAGAGATATATGTGCTTTAAATCCATCTAATTGTCTAACTCTCAGCAAGCTTTTTATTCATGTCTCTCCCCTTGCATCTCACTATAAAAGATTATGTACTCGCGCAACTATGTACAAAAACTCAACGATACCCTATTCGGCACGTCTTTTATGTGGTAGAGATATTGTTAGGCGTGAAACTTACGAATTATTATGTTATTAGCAAAATAATTAACCCTTTTCTTTATCTTCTCTCCTAGTTGTAATCTACGATGACACTATTTCAATTAATGATATGACAATAAAACTTGGACACTGTGGTAGTGTATAACTCCATTATAGATAAAATTTATTTTGATAAAGTCACACAGTGTTATTGTACAGTAATGTTTACTGATAACCACGTTTCGAGCACAATTTGTTACTGCTCATAATTATATCAAGACACTACTCATGCATATTTTTCAACTTCGTTTCTGTGGTTCCACTATTTCTCATCTCTTGATTTGATTGGTGGTAATATTATCTTCCATATCTCTGGTATTTGCATTGAGTTATTTCTGTTGCACGTGTTGGGTGTAGACCCGATGAACCAGGATTCAGTAATCAACCTCTCTCTCTCTCCACCTATCTATATTACTCCTTAGAATTTTGACTCTGTCCCACCCACCCTATTGTGTGGTTGTGTGTTAATGCCTGCAGTGCAGTTGCTGAGCTTTTTTCTAAATTACTTATCTTCGCTGGTGAGGTCAACCATTCTTACCTTAGCAAAATTCTTATGTTCTGACAGGCAATCTCACTACTCCTGATCTACTAGTCTGACCTATATAGTTAACCCCACAGTCATTGCAGGGTATTTTGTTTAATTGGGTCCACCGGGTCTTTTAGCCCACAGATCTTGTCCTACCTGAGTGAGTTTGTAGGTTTGAATGCCACCCTAATTCCTGCTTTATTAAAAATCCTACGTAGGAAGGGTTTCAGATGTACCTTCCTTATATGGAGAAATTATTGTATATGCCTTATATTCTTTCTTATTTATATTATCATTATCAGTTTCATACCTCAAATATGGAGGATATTACTACCAGTCAAATCAAGAGATGGGAATTAAATTATAATTAAATAACTTTAGCTATGAACATGAATTAGCAGAAGTTAGAATTCATGCACTGGCCATTGGATCGGGTCCCAGTGGCTCAGTGGCCTACGGGCTCGCCCACCTTGTAACCAGAAGGTCTCAGGTTGGAACCCTGCTGGGTTCTGGGTGCGTACTGATGAAGAGTCGCAAACTGGGCTGACGAGACAGCTAGTTGTCCAGTACTTCCTGTTTGTTTTCCAATGATTCTCTGGCCGATATCAGCTCATGATGAAATCCTGTAACCAATCAGTCAAAATCCCTGCAAACCAATACTTGCAAAACAGTCATTGATATTGTGTTCTAATGGAGAGTGTTCTTCTTACTCCACGGAATAGACTCCTGGGTGTTTTCTTGAAAGGGAGAAAAGAAAAAAGTGTTGATTACTCTGTCTATAACAGTTTTTATTTCGTTACACTTCTATATGATTAAATCTTTGTTTTATTTTACTTTTTATTTTCTTCATTTACAGACTCCAGATGACATTAAGCTAACTCTGTCAATGTATGAGTATAAAATTCGTGTACTCCAAGTAAGCTCTTTATGCTGGATTACTTTCACCGGTTTCTTTTTCTTGTTATTATAATCCTGTAGTTTATTCTATCCGACATAATATGTATGAAGTCTGCTAATTCTATTAGGCCGACGCCGGAATTAGGTGCACTGTGTTGATAACGAATACAGCTTGACTAGCCTACTGCTCTACATATTCCAGAATACTAAACGACGTGAGACAGAAGGTGCCCTTATCTGCATAAGTAAGAAGTGGATTTACCTAGGAAAAGAATTATATGTGACCAATGGCATTGCGAGAGTGAAGATAGCCAATAATTGTTATTTCCTGGCCAGACCAGCTTGAACCAAGGACAAAAAATATCCAAACAACCTTGATACAGAGACATGTAACATGTCTGACTACATATCAAATACTGCCCAATCACACCAGCCAGTAAAGCAGGTGACATTGACCTGCATAGCTTGTGACAGTGTTCTAGAAACAAACTGTTGATCAGTAAACCTTTGGGACCCTTCACAGACTTTCATCTAGACAACAGTTGAAGGAATATCACTCATCATCAAGATCTTTCTATGGTTGCGGGGATAGGAGGTGTGTGGATCCCTCCTGTCTTCCGAAACTTTAGTGTCTTCGAGATGAACATTTGCTTATGTCGCCTATAACATGATTTCTTAAAATCGACTTAAACAGATACCTAATGTGTTAAATGCGCCTGCTAAGTCCCATCTTAGTGTTGAATTTGCGAAGTGATCACTTCTAAGGTGTTGGTTGGTTTCTAGATTTCAACAAGATTAGTTGGTAAATTGGTGGTAGTTGGTGACTAACAGCGGAATCCAGGAGAACGCGAGATTTCGTCCTATTTGGGGCTCGTCAGCTAGTGGATGTACCTGCTTTCCCCAGTGAGTGACGATGCTCCCACCACCAAGGGTCAAACCCCAGTAGCCGTCGTTTCAAATGCCAAAGCACTATCCACTAGACCACTTAGAAGACAAGTCATCTCTTGTGCAACAGATGTCAGTTGTTATTATTTATATTTTCATTTCAGTTTTGATTTACACGTTGATTGGTTGGACTGAAATGTTCTACCTCTATTGATATGTCGGCTCCTTGTGTGGATGCTTCGACCGACATCTGAGGATTAATTTGAAGTTATTTTGTTAGTTAGTTATTCAATCCTCGTATTGTGAGTTGGAGCGTAGCGCATCAAGTGGGGGTACATCTTCATCGTGCTCCGTTATCTGCCATCACACTGAGTGCCAGTTTTCATTTTCCCTCTCTCATATGATCTCTCTGTGTCACTCTCGACCGCTGAACACTTCGCTTCTCATTCAGCCTCCAGCCTAGTATGTGATTCTACTGAGGGTCGTCCTACTTCTCTGAGGCCTGTATTGTTTAAATGTAACTTTCCTACCTTTTGAATTGTGAATGCTGTTTCCATCATTCTGGAGGAGATTGGTTCGCATTGCATATGAGGACTTTCATTGGGGTTAGTGATATATCTAGGGAGCATTGTCTCAACTACAGGAGGAACGGACGAGGATGTCAAATGGAGAATTGGGAAGGCGAGAAACACATTCATCATCAACCTGAAACCAATCTGGAAATCTTCTTCACTCAGCATCAACAACAAAATTCGGATTTTCAACACAAACGTCAAGTCAGTCAGTTTTTCTATACGGATCAGAAACTTGGCGGGTCACCAAGAATATTTCCAACAACCTGTTACAGACCTTTATCAACAGCTGTCTTCTCCCTATACTGAAGATCAGATGGCCGGAAAAAATCACCAAAAAGGGACTATGGGAACAAACAAAACAAGAACCAATCGTCCAACAAATATGCAGGAGAAAGTGGAGATGCATTGGACACTGGCTGAGGAGGCCGCTGGTTGACATCGCGCGTCAGGCCAATGCTCGAGTGGAAACCGAAAGAGAATCGGCGAGTGAGACGTCAGTGCAAGGGTGACATGGAAGAGATCGTGTGAAGAGGAGCTGAAACAGTATGGACTATCATGCATGCAGGTGAAAAGTACAGCAGAAGACAGAAGCAAGTGGAGGCGTGCAGTTGAAGCCCTATGTTCCACTAGGAACCCAAGGGAACAATAATAATAAGCGTAATATCGTTATTGCCACACATAATATGCCAGTGGTCGCTAGCTAGCTGGGTGAGTGGAGTAGATAACCAAATTTCCAGTTCATAATTTACATAGTATACTTTCATCATTCCATCTATTCTCATAGGTTGCTAACACTTCTAAACCATATCTTTTCATTTCGCTTGTGATTTGAGCATTTTCGTCAGTTGCAAAAAAGATGACACTGATATTCCATTTCTCTATGCTTTCATTGAAAGAATAGACATCACTTGACTGGCTTTCCTGATGAATTTCACCAGTTGGCGTAATCTCTTCTTCAGTTGAGAAGTTTTTCCTGATTTCATGGAAGAATAAGTTGATTTATTCTCTGCCCTGAGATTTCCCTACCTCGGTGTACATCCAACATTCCCTTTTTTTATCTGGATTAAGAACAGTTTAGTGTAAACAAGGCGAAGTTGTTGCTGGGTTGTGGCTTATTGTTTACTTATTACACAAGCCGTCCAGCCAGATCCATAATTTAATGGTTTCTGTTAACCGCTGTTTTATCGCCACAACAACAGACAACAATCAGCATAAATGGAAGGAGCCTGAAAGAAACAACCTCCTTCACTTGACTACTTACCAGGGAAGCATCATTTTAACGACAGGCGCAACTGACGAAGATATCAAAGTGAAGTTCGGGAAAGCAAGGCAAGCTTTCATTACTCTCAAGTCTGTGTGGAGGTCAACAGCACTCATCATCAAAAATAAGATTCGGACTTTCAACTCCAATGTGAAGTCAGTGCTACTATACGGATCAGAGACTTGCACTGCGCGTCATAAAGAACATCTCAAAAAAACTACAGACCTTTATTAACAGTTGTCTTCGCTCAATACTCAAGATCAGATGGCCGGCCAGAAAAGATCAGCAACAGAGATCTCTGGCGACGAGCGAACCAACCCAGCAGGAACCGATTGTGAAACAAATAGGCAGGAAGAAATGGAGATGGATTGGCCATACTCTGAGGAAACAATGCATCAAGTGACATCACTAGACAAGCCATTGCTCGAGTGGAACCCAAAAGGGAATCGGCGAGTCGGTCGTCAGTGCGAGGGTGATTTGGATGAGGTCATATGAAGAGGAAATGAAAGCATGTGGGGGCAGACTTGGAGCCAGGTGAAAACTCTAGCAGAGAACCGAACGCATTGGAGACGTTTGGCTGAAGCCCTATGTTCGTCTGGGAATTAAAGAAAACAATAATAATAATAATATATTAACCGCTGTTTTATCGCCGATCATATGCTGAAGGCCATATGGAGCGGGAAGACAGGAATACCTTGAACAGATAAGAAGACTCTAGAAGATCTGGACTTCTCGAGCGATTTTTATCTGACGCTGTGTAAAATCGACCACCTGGGAATCGAAAGCCAACAATTTGGAAGAAGAGGTAGACAGCGAAGACAGGACTTCAAGTGAACATAGAGAGGACAGAAGTGATGAAGATAACCAAACAGCCAACCAACAACAACAAGAAGCTGCAATCACTATCATCGGAAGAATTTTGAAAAAGGTAATTCCCTTCACTTGTCTAGGAAGCATCATTTCAACTACAGATGACAATATGGATGAGAATATCAAAGCCAGAATCGGAGAAGTAAGGCACACCTTCAACACTCTGAAGTCAGTTTGGAAATCTTCAGTTAAGTGAGTCAGATCTTCTGTGTGGGTCAGAAACTTAGCTATCGTGTCACGGAAAGCATTTCCAATGACTACGCGCGCTTTGTCCAATGAAATCACCCGCCAGGTCATCTGTCGAGTGGGATCCTATCGGGAAACGACGAAATGGGCTTTCGTTCGAAGGGGTGACATGGAGAAGATTGTGTGAGAAGGGGGTGATATGAGACTCTGGCGAAAAGGATAGCAGTGAATACGACAAAGTGGAGATGTGCTGTTGTGACCTCTTATGTTCTACTCAGAGAGAACCCAAGGGAACAATAAAAATAATGTAAACTGCTGTTTACAAAATGTACACTGAAACAAAAAAAAATGAGTGACTGTTGAATATATCATACTGATTTTATTTATTTGCTAATGAGTGAGCATACTTTCTCACCTGGTGGTCGCCTTTATCAATTGCATTGTTGCCTAGTGCAACACATTTCATGGTCAAGTTGATTATTTGCTATGTAGCTCTATCTATTTGCATACAATTTTTTATGATAGTTAGTTGTTCCTACTACTATCTACTAATTATGGTTTACATACTAACAAAGCAGCTTGTGAAAAAAAATGTAGCCTGCTACTGATCTGGGTCACTCATCACTTGACTAGTAGTAGATCTAGATCTCGATTCACACTCTACCTACTTTCTTCTGGTCTACTGGACAGTGTTAGAGATCCTCACGTGATTAACTGAGTTTTGTAGACTTGTGCCTAACAAATGTGCAGAAAGAAATAGAGATGCATGGTAAACCTACACTGTTGAGAGGGCGAGAGAGAGAGCTTCAAGTAGTATAATAGTTCAAGCTGAATAGGTATCGACGGGTTAGGCTTCCATCGATAACATGGTGAAGATCATCACTTTGTGAAGAGACAATTAGAAAAGAAGACCGCAGAGAATAGTGTGAAACATAGGGATGTGCTACTGGAGGAAGTCTACTCTTCCACAACGGATGAATATATTATACCAGACTGGGACATCTTCCAGTGCATCGGTGGTATAGCGGTTAGGACACTCGCCAACCATGCACATGGTCCGGGGTTCGATTTCCGGCCGACTCACTCCTTTACCTCACTAAGCCAGTAATAGAACTGGCGAAAAGGGAAGGTTGGACATGAGGCTAGCAACCCCATCCTGTATAAACAAACACTGCTACCGAAACTTCAAGTCTCTAGCTTGAAGCCCTATGTTCCACTGGGGAACGTGAAGGAATAGATAAAAAGGGACATCCTCCAGAAAAGGCTAGATTAATGAACATTACAAGTATTAAATATCAGTAGGGATTGTTTAGCATGCATGTAATCTCCTGTAATCTTTTTCCGTATTCTTCTTCTCTCTTCGTTTGAAAAAAAAATAATAAAGTCTCGTGAGAAAATCTTGGAGAGGAATGCTGCAGTCAATGCTGAAGCATCCGCTAGTGCGCATAAACTCTGCGATCATTATCGTGAACGGTCGGAATTAGCTGAATACGAGGCGAGTAAACTGCGCATGCTACAAATGGAATCAATTAGTAATATACATAATTATAAACGTCAACTTGCTTATCAAAAAGAACAATTAGAAAAGTAAGAATGTTTGTTTGTTCGTTTATTCTTTCGTGCAGTGGAAGTTTTTTTGGCTATGTAGAAAGAAGCGTTCAAGTTTGAATTAACGTTTTTGTGACGCTTGCTAGCTTACATCATCTCTAGCGTAGACATGATATCCGGCTATTCACTCTGTCCTTCTTTACGGTTATAAGATGTAGTCGTTGAAAATTAAAAAAAAAGAAAAACTTGAACAGGCTAGCCGTCCTTCATCCAATCAAACAAAATCCCTACAAAAACCAATACTTGGAAATACAAGAATTTATAAGGAGTTAAGAAGCAAACAAATAGATCAATTTGGTAGAAAACAACAAGATTTTTGACATGATAGCAGAAGTGGTTGGATAATTCTCTTTTGTTTATAGAGCTCCGGTTTCTCTGTCTGAATAGCTAAAGTCTTAGCAGTTCAGAAGACACGAAAGCGCACTATTTTTTGGCAGGTTGTTCTTCACTTTGAAGCAGGTATTTGTTAAGATGGAATGACTAGTGTTGACAAGGTGTTCAATTACCCCACTCCTTATAGTGCCACTGGTGCTTTTTTGCAACCATACCGGTTAGTATTCTCGATATCTTTTAGAGATTTTATACACGTCGAACGACCAATATACCTGGCTCCACAGGAACAAGCGAACTAGAAGCACATAGAAGTACTCAGATGCGAGATTTTGTTGTTCAGGCTCCCGCAAACCAATGGGTGACTGCAAAAGACTACTCCTCTTAATGATATCACAGGTGTAGACTTCCTGGTCGGGGTCCTCGGGGTGGTAAAAACCAATGAAGGCTGGAAACAATTGGTGACATGGCTCAAAATCGTTCTCAATGCCGCACATGCATCCACTTCTTATGACTTATGATTTCCAATTAAACTGTTTTGTTCTTCGTTATTACTATTCCTTTGTCTCACACCTCTGTCTACTGTCTCTGTTATGCATTTCTCCTACTTTCTTCTCTTGCTTTGTGTAATACAAGAAGGGAGTGTAGCGACTTGAACTGCCGCACATGTGTGCAAAGTTCTATGTCGAAAACAGATAGACAGACAGGTTATGTGTGCCTTGAAATCAGCGTTTATGTAAAGTTTGTTTTCTGATACAAGTAATGTTTCATTTCTCTGAACTTTTTTTTTTATATTCTTGTCAATGAATCTTGGTGAGTATGCATTCTGGATCAAAATTTCTCGCAAAAGGTCTAGTTCTCTTTTTAGAGCGTCAGGGTTGCTGATACAACAAGAACAAGGGATTTGATGAAATTTCGTTTTTTTCCAACACGGGACCCAACTGTAGAAATTCGCCAGTTGATTGTTCCATGTGGGTTTCCCATTGACTGACCTCCTTAAGTTTCCTTCGGCTCTTGATAGTTTTACATCAAGGAAGGGAATAATATTGCTGGATGGTGGTAGCTGTTAAATAGGAGTAACTTATCGAGTGTAACCAGTTAGCTTTTAAATTTCGTGCATAAAGCATTCAGCGCATCCGTCTACGCCTCCTCTTTATGTAGTAAACTTCCGCTGGTTAAAAAACCCTGGTACGTTTGTTAACCTGTTACACAATGCAGTGTGTTTCCTCTTACATAAGTCTCTGTTTTTCATTATTTTTTTCAGATATGATGGTAAAATCGCCCAATTAACGGAACAGTTAGAAGCTAAGCACAAGTCTTATGAAGGTCAGTATGTATTATATTTCTGCGTTTTACTTCTTTCACTATTTTTTCGGGCCAAGTTAAACTTTAAGCACCACTAACTACCAATAGAGTGCGACCGCACCGATGACCTTGAAACGCTCACTCAGTGAGTGTCAGTGAAACCTGGCAAATAATCTTGTCATCATCAATAAAATATGCTCATCGAAGTGTTATGCTATTAAATGGGATTTCTGGCAAGTTTCAGATTATGTTCGGTAAAGATTAAGCTTTAAGCCAAGGACAAGTTAGGGTTAGGTTGACCTAATAAAGGCGACATTAGGGATGGTTCAAGTTAGATTACAGTTAGTTTAGGGTAAGGTTCAGGAGAGATTAGGGTTATTGTTAGGGTTAGAATACCTAAATAACTAGATGCATAGAATGTGGTTAAATTACTCTGTTGATATAAGAATAGAACTTGTGCACTGTGGTAGAGTATAATTCCATTGTGAGTAACATTCATAGTTATATTGACTGATGACCGCGTTTCGAGCACAAATTTACTGCCCAGTAAATATTACTGTATTACACTATGAGACTTTATCAAAATAAATTTAACTCACAATGTAATTATACTCTATTCATACTCCAACCTAAAACAGAGCTATTTTTATCACATGTGAGAGGAAGGTATCCTGTGTAACACTTTTCTACAGTTTTTATGCAATTTTTTCATAAATATATGTATTCCATACACAAAATTGCCTCCTTCACATGATTGGTGCGTTTGAGGTCATTCGCTGATTGGTAGTTAGTGGTGCTTAAAGTTTAACTTTGCCCCTTTGCACTCACAGTGGAACATAGGGGGCTTCAAGCTTGAGCTTTGAAGTTTCAGTAGTTGTGGTTGTATTTCTACTGGGTGGTGGGGTTGCTAGCCTTCCCTCTTTGTGGGGGGTAAAGGTGTGCGTCGGCCAGGATTCAAACCCCGGACCATGTGAGGTGTCGTTGACGAGTGTTCTGCCACTGATGCACCAAAGTACCTGGTATGTCACACACAACTTTTTATGCATTCTTTCGACAGTAGATACTTAGTATTTTTGAAGTGAACGTTCGCATCGAATTATTGTGATGTGATTGCAGTTTGTTATGGCTACATTGCTTAAATTTAAGTCAAATATTTAATAATCTTAAAAAGAACTTTCTCCAACTGGCTTTTAAGTCAATATAGGGTAAACAATCTTTCATTAATGATGAGTTATTTTGGTTCAACGTCTTTCTCCCTATGTTAATGTCACAAGTTATGTATACTTTTCTAAACACCTTCACAATATTATTCTAGCCGTTAAATGTCGGTTTTACAATGCCGAAGTCCTCAAAGTCTTTCTCTACCCCACCTAGCACCGCCAAACTAGGGGTGTGAGGTGATTCTGTGCATTTAATTATCAATATCTCTGTCAAATTACTTGCATCCCGTGACATCATCCTATAAGTAATTCTGAGTTCCAGTGGCGTGTGTTTGGTTACAGCGTTATTATTATTATTTCCTTTAATTCCTAGAGGAACAAAGAGCTTCAGCCAAACGTCTCCATTGCGTTCGGTTCTCTGCTAAAGTTTCTCCTGGCTCCACGCCTGCCCCCACATACTTTCATCTCCTCTTCACATGACCTCTTCCAAGTCACCCTTGCACTGACGACCAACTCGCCGCTTCCCATTCTGGGTTCCACTCGAGCAATGGCTTGTCTAATGATGTCACTCACTTGATGGTTTCCTCAGAGTATGGCCAATCCATCTCCATTTCTTCCTGCCTATTTGCTTCACAATCGGTTCCTGCTGTGTTGGTTCGCTGATTGCCAGAGATCCCTGTTGCTGATCTTTTCTGGCCATCTGATCTTGAGTATTGAGTGAAGACAGCTGTTGATGAAGGTCTGTAGTTTGTTTGAGATGCTCTTTATGACGCGCAGTGCAAGTCTCTGATCCGTATAGTAGCACTGACTTCACATTGGAGTTGAAAATCCGGATTTCATTTTCATTTCTATGCTAAGTGCTGTTGACCTCCACACAGACTTGAGAGTAGTGAAAGCTTGTCTTTCTTTTCCGATTCTTGCTTTGATGTCCTCGTCACTTCCGCCTGTAGTTGAAAAGATGCTTCCTAGGCTGTGACTCTGTTTCATTTCAATATTTGCTAGCTCTGGGGTAACTAGCTGGAAAAAGTGGAAGGACAGTTGGTCCATAGCCTTATGTGTGGTGGGAAGAAAGAGACAGTTGTTTTAGTTCAACCACCTGTAGGTGCATCATGACTCTTACCGGGTGGAATAGTCGGAGAGATTATTTGAATCAGTGGCCTTAACACATTATTTGTAGAAATTCCTTATTTGCTCTTTTATTGTTATATATATATATACATTTATTGTCGTTGTTTTTTGTAGAATCTGAATTAAAAGCTGAAACTCTTCAAAACAAGCTAAAGTCAGCTCGTGAACAAATCAGATCGATGGATTTAACGATAGACGATTATCGAAACCAGTTGAATCAGGCTCAAAATCAAATTCAAGCTCAAACAGCACAAGTAAGCTTTCCTTTCATAGACCTCGACAGACAGACAAGTTCAGTGTGTATTTAAATAATTTGAGTAATATGTTGTTATAACCGGAGTGTGTTACTGACTCTACATGGTGTTTGTCGTCTAGCTTGACTAGAATCCGCCTCCAGGCACGACACTATAACCAACTGACCACTTGGAAATGTCTCCTCACACTGAGATAGACACAAAAGCGCTCATCAGTCCCTTCTATGAATGAGTGGGAAATTATGAAAGCTCTTTATCATGAGTCTACAAAGTCAGAACACAGAGTTGTCATTATTGAATTCCAAGCTAAGAGGCTGAATGGTCAACGACCTTGGTCGCGTAGCCTGAATGTCCTGAGTTCTATCTCTGGCACAGCTATGGGTGCACACTGTTGAGGGGTTCTGTAGTGGAACAAAACGGCTGTCTAGTTCTTTCGGGTTTTTAATGACCTCTCTAACTGAAAATCGGTTCGTGACGTAACTTTATTAATTAAAGGATTATTGTTATTAACAATTATGAATGTTCTAAATAACATGGGATTATTATGAGGACTAAAAATTGATATTCAGAAGCATCCGTGAGTGGCAATATGCGTTAATGTAAATGCTAAGTTGAGTATGAGGTAATTTAAGAAAAAAAATGCAGAGTTTATAGACTAGAAAAATGCTAAAGTAGACTGGACTGGGCTGGTTTCAACTTAGAACTTTTCACAGATGTGTACCAGTTCGAGTTGCCATGCAGCACACTAAGTAAGAGAAGAGAGTAAAGAGAGATTCAAAAGACAGAGAGATATAATAAACAGAAGTGTGAGGAAAATGAAAAGTAATATGGAAGAACAATCGGATTTTATTGGATATTATAAATCACAAAGAGTGAATGCATCTGCGCCAGCGAATACGATTTCGGGCCATATCACCTATTGTCTTCAGCCTGCATTGGTTCTTACCATCTCAACGACCCCGAACAGACAGCAGTCTACACCTCCCTACATGGCTGACTTAAGCTTACTGTTGTGGATTTCATTGACTGATAAAGCCATGTTTCCGTTTGACCACCACTAGCTCTTTTCCAACTTGGTCCTATGTCATTGGCTAACACTTACCGTCGATGAAGGCAGTGACTAGGCATGTCGTAGCCATCTCAGTCAGTGTAACTTCACAACCTCATCGATTGATTTCTCCTCCTTTCCTCGGAACCTAACGTCAATATTGTTCACCTTGTTATACCACCTAACACACATGGGAGATAGAACGCAGACACCTATGATTGAAGACAGCAAGTCTCTACATTCACTTCCCACACTTTTAATGACCATGTCTCACTCACAGCCATAAAGGAGGACAGAGCGAACTGTTGAGCAGTTCACATATACTTTGGTCGACAGTCGGCCGGATATCACGTCTACGCCAGCGATGGCGTAAGTTGGCATGTGCCAGACGAGCCTTTTGTATCCGTGCTGAGAATTCGCCAGCGAGCAACCCGCTGGCGATGACTGATGCTACCTCCCAAATAAGTGAATTGGCTAACAGGCTCCACCAACCACTTCACTCCTGCTTATCTTTAAGCTAGGAGTTAGTCAATGTAATCCAGTCCTATAGCATCATCTTGCACTTGACAACAAGAGCGAATCGCATGCCAGTCATTCGAAGATTGCTGCTCCTCAAAGTGTTTGGAAGATTCTGAATTTTGTCAGCATCTTCACCTAGGAGGGATGACTATATCATCTGCATATTCTAAGTCAACGAGATTATTCCCTGGTAACAAGTCGATCTTTGAGTTAGTTGGTCAGTTAGGGTTAAGTTAGAAGTGGGGACAGTGGGCATCCTTTCCTGGTGGAAGACACCACTGGTTGTCACCACATGAAACGACAATTCTACCTAGGCTCTTTCCTGGCTGGCTGCATGAGTCCGACTACAGTGTCTGATCAGTGCGATGCATTTTCTCGTCATTTCCTTCCCAGCCAAACATCGCCATAATACCCCTCGGTCGATGGAATTGAATGTCGCTTTCAAGTCAAGAAATATGGCTGTACATGTTTATTTTGTACGCAGAGTTCCAGTTGTTTATGGCGATTTTCACTGGCCTCTGCTATTCAGAGTATGTGGTACCTAGAATCTTTCAGCTATTTATTTGGTACTCGATAAATGATAGGAAAAGATTCTTGAATATTCGCTTGATGGTATATTGGAGTAAAGCAGTCTTATGTAGAATTGTTGATTATTTTCACTACACCTTCATTTAACCATACTGGTGGTAGGTGTATCCAGGGCATGTAAAATTATCTTCCTAGAACAATGGCTAATATAACTGACTCCATAGGAGTAGGTGAATTGTGATAGATACAAGAAAAGAGGTAACTAGCCTAGGTGCTGCGTCGTCCTTCAGTTGAGTAATCGTGTTGTATATGTATGTGTGGTAGCTTACTGGGATTAAAAATTCTTCGAATCAATTTTCTCAAATTGTCGGTTATTATTTCACTTGACATACTTCCAAATTTGAATTGAAGTCGTGTCTGTAACGAGGCTTTTTTCTTGTTAGAAAATACATAATAATTCTCCTCTACTTTCTTAGCCACTTGTTTATTCTGATCAATTAAAATGAGAAGATAACTCGTGGTACTTCCCAAATAAGTGAATTGGTCAACACTCTCTATCAACAACTTCAATCCCTATCCTTAAGCTAGGAGTTAGTGTAGATCAGTCAGTCCTGTAGCATCATCTTACATTTGGTGGGAGCGAATCGCATACCAAACATTTGCAGATTGCTGCTGAAGATTTGGAATATGCCAGTTTACGCCAACTCTGACGTAGACGTGATATCCGGCCGACTATCATCGACCACAGGGCGTGTTTACTGCTCAGTAGCAGTTCTCTCCGTCCTCCTTTGTGTCTGTGAGACCTGATCATTGAGGTTAGAAGACATGAAAAGACCAGCTAGCTGTCTTTGTTCATATGTGCCTGCATTCTATCTCCCGTGTGAAGTGGTATGATAGGGTGAGCAATATTGAGGTTAGACTTCGAGTGTTGGGTAAGGAGGGGAAATCAATCGACGGGTTTGTGAAGTTACATCGATTGAGATGGTTAGGATATGTGTTACGTACGTCTAGCCATTGCCTCGGTCGACGGGCAGTGTTACCTGATATAGGGTCAGGTTGGGAAATATGGTTTCATCAGTCAATGAAATCCACATTAGTTAGTTTAAGCCATCCAGTCACGTAGGAAGGTGTAGACTTCCTGACTGGTTGGGGTCCTCGGGACGGTAAACACCAATGAAGGCTGGAGACGATTGGTGATATGGCTCAAAATCGTTCTCAATGGCTGGCATAGGTACATCCACTCCTTTTGACTTTTAATATCCAATAAAACTATTTAGTTCTTCGATGTTACTATTATTTTTGCCTTCTTATATCTCTGTTTGCCGTCTCTATTTTGCATTACTCATTACTCTAATCTCTTGCTCTGTATGCTAAGTGAAGTGTGGAGACTCAAACTGCTGCACATTTGTGGAAAGTTCTACGTTGAAACCAGTCAGTCAGTTACCACCTATAAAATCAGGATCGTTTTCACTGTTTACGGTGTGTCGATTCCCTGTATTTCTATGGTATAGTGACCTGTGTTATAGTCATAATGCGCTCCTTAAAAAGTACATTTAAATAGTACATCCTCAGTTCTTTTTTATTACACTAGTATCATTCATTGTTTTAACGCATCGCTCCTATTTTCATCTCTCTTTTTAATATACATAAATTTAGATTAACAAATTCACACAAATCACACGACTTATTAACGATTTGACTGGTAATCCATCAGCTGAATTGGGAACTTCTCTAATGACAACTACTGCATCTGATCGGCCTACACCACCGCCGACAACGACAACAATAACTGATCCAATCGCATCTCAATCGGTTTGTGACACTGGTCGAATTACTTCAGTGTCAACGCGTAAGGCAGCAGCCAGTCGAAATACCCGACACTAATATGAGTGCAGAAGTATTGACGTGAATTATCCCCTCCCCCCCCAATCCTCTTGTCTTCTTTTGTAAATATACAGATATACGAATCTTTGTTGCTTAACGAAGCTAAACTGTTCGCTAATATTTTTGTTATCCCCCCTCCCGGTATGATTGAATAAACCATTAATTAACTGCTGTTAATCTATGTGTGTGTAATATACGTATTCATTCACACGGACTTCAATATATATCCAATATCGATTTTACGAGCTAGTATGAACCAATATGATTTCTTTGTGCTCGCCTCTTGATTGTGAGGTATAGGTTCCTGATCTTCGGTAAACTTGTGCGTGGCTCGTCCCGCCACTCGACTGTCATAGCTTTGATTGACTCCAAAAGGTGTAGTGCTGGCATTAATTATACGTGGTTTGCAGTATGAGGTGTGTTAAGACTGTTACTACTGTGAATGGAGTTAATCCTTTCACCAGTTAGTCCTCCGTTATCGTCGTCAAAAGAAAAGAGATAATAATAATAATAGTAGATATAATTAGTGAAGTTATTCAGACAGAAAAAGAACAAGAAAACGTAGCAACAGTCAGCTGATTAAATCTGAAGAATAATATGAATTATATATACATATATATATATATATATATCGGTAATAATAATAATAATAGGTGTAGTTAAAGCTGTCAGGAGAGAATGTAAAGAAGTAAAATGACAAATTTAATTGTTTACCCCCGAATAGTGTATGCGATTTTAAGGGGATAGGCCATTTGGATGCAGTCCTTGTGTCGCTGCATGGTTGTCCAGCCTTCGCTTAAAGGCGTCCACAGACGGTGCCATAGCTACATCTGCCGGTAAGGAATTCCAGGGACGGCGAACCCGCAGGGAAAAGAAGTGGGAGCGCACCCGGGTCCTTGCCCTCTGGTGAGCTATCCTCCTAGGATTTCCACGAGGGAGCCTATACCTACTTAATGGCAGAACACCCTTGTTTGGGTGATTCTGGTCATTGTTATTTTGTAGGCAGTAACTAAATTCCCCCTAAAACGACGGGAGCTAAGTGTGAATAGGCCTAATTTCTTCAGCCTTTCATCATATGGTTTGTTTCGGAGACCAACCACTACTGTTGTTGCCCGTCGTTGGACTCTTTCCAAGAGGTTGGCGTCTCTTCTAAGCAGTGGGGGTGCAATGATATTATGCACTTCAAGGTGCGGTCTGACGTATGTTTTGTACAACCTTAGAAAGAGCTCAGGAGTGAGTGCACCTAATTGTCTATGTGTAAAGTGTATGACCACATATGCCCTCGCTACATCCCCGTGTAATTTACGCTTGTGTCCATTTTCTCCGTTAGAACTAGACCTAAGTCACGTTCCGACGCTGTGCAGGACAAGCTTTCATTGCATAGGGTGCAACTTGCATTCTGCAGTCTACAGGTGCGTAACTTCACTACTTTGCACTTTTTCAGGTTGAAAGTCATGCCACTGGCCACCGCCCAGTCTTCCAGAAGGTTTAGATCTGCCTGCAGTCTATCTGAGTCCTCCGGGCACTTTATCGCCCTCCATATCTTCACGTCGTCAGCGTATAGAAGAGTCGGACAGCTTAGACGGCATAGTAGTTCACTGATAAAAATCAAAAACGTCCTGAAACCGTGTTGGGCTTCATGGAGTATATTAGACCTATCGAGATATTCCCTGATGTGATCGTCAATAATACTTTCCAGTACTTTTGATAACACTGGGAGTAGAGCTACTGGTCTATAACTAGTGGCATTTTGTCTATCCCCACCCTTGAAGATCGGAGAAAGGATGGCTCTTTTCCACTCCCTTGGCAGTTTCCCTGATTACATGGAGTGTTGGAACAAGTCTCATAAGGGCCTACAGAGAGCTTCGGTGCACTGTTTCAGCACAGATGGCCTGATGTCGTCACAACCTGGGGACTTCCCAGGTGTGAGTCGCTGTAGCTTCCTTAGTACTATTGCAGGGTTTATTTGGGGAGTAGCCACTAGGTCTTCCTCCTGTGAAGTAGTAGTGCTACCATTTTGGTTCGTAACGGTAATACCCACATTGCTGTTTAGCTGTTTGGCGAAGGCTAAACTGAATGATTCAGCCATCTCCATACTAGTGAGATATTGACCGTTTGGGCCTACTAAGGCGACTGGTTGGTTTTCTTTCCGACACGAATCGGTACAAGTTTTTGGGGTTTGCTAGGAGTTTTTTAGCAAGGTTAGCCCGGAATGACCTCCTGACTCTTGCATCGCACCGGTTCCTGAGTTCCAGGTATGCATCGTGCCCTATCTGACTCTTAGATACGCGCCACGTAAACCAAGCCTTCTGCTTTGCTTGCAGAATACGTGAATCTGGACCTTTTTGACGAGTAGTTGGTCACTAGTTAGAATGTAGTCTAGTTTTGATGACTTTCCACTAGGGCCCCACCTAGTGTCGTCTCCAACGTTCTCAGTCAGTCCCGTGTTCCGAATAGCTTGCAGTAGATTTCGGCCAAATTTTCCCTTAGCATATCCCGAGCCAAGGTTCAGTGATGGGGCATTGAAATCTCCAGCAATGGTGATTTGGTCATAGCCCAAGTCTCGTATCCCTGTAATAGTGCTGAGCAGTAGCTGATTGTGCTCTGCCCCACAGGTGGGAGATCGGTAGATGCCACCAAGTAAATGCTTGGTGTGGCCTACGGTGAAATGACACCATATGGAGTCTAGGAGTTCAATAAATGGTGGGTCCGTTGCGCGCACACATTTAAGTTGCCTATCAAAGTATATAGCAACTTCCCCTCCTCCCTTATTATCCCTGTCTCTCCTGACCAAAACCATATCACCTATACTGATTTCATTATCGGCAATAGTGGGGGTTAGCCATGTTTCGGTGAGAATGATCATTTTCAGCTGTAGGTGTGCTTGGAGATTTCGGAGTTCACCTATTTTTCCTCTCAGCCCCCTCAAATTGCTATATAGGCAGTTGACAGTGAGTCTAGCAACCTCAGCGTGTTGTGAGGTAGTTGACGTGAGGCTGTCTGCTGGTAGGGGACTTAATGTTGTCTGATTCCGATGGAACCGGCCCGTTGTGGTTTTTCCATGGATTTAGGCAGGACACTTGGGTGACACAGACTGTTATTCTCAGAACTGCATCGCTCGAGTGTCACTGAAGCTTGGGGACGTATTAAAGCCTCAGTTTGCTGCCTCCTTATGATTCGAGGTCTGCTTTCGCAGCATCGGATGTGTCTCTCACTTTTCCCTTGGTCTCATATCACTGCTGAAGTGCTATGGCCAACTGCTCCGGGGAGTTGAATGTGACACTTAGTAGCTCTGGAGAGCTAATCAGTGTGAGATGAGCGGGGCAAGGTAGTCGGGAAATGGAGATGGCACCAGAAGCGTCAAGGGCCATCTGAGGTGACAGGCATCTCCATTGCTGTACGTCATGCATGTGTTTTTCACAAGCAGTGCCCGTTTCCAGCTCCAGAACACCGTGTACCACCATAGAGGTAGAAGGCATCAGTTCCGGTGACTTTTTCGCCATTTGTCTGATAGCCCATATTCTGTCTTGTCTCACCCTTATGTTCGAACTTCTGTCGATAGCTAGTACCTGAGCCATCAATAGTACTTTTTCAGCCTCTTCGGCAGAGTCCACTGTAACCCTTAATGGGGGTGGCTTACCCTGAGGCGTGTGGACACCCCTGTACAGCCTGCACAATTTCACTGAACTAATGTTCAGACCTAATTTATTGCACAGGTTGGACCACTGTTCCTGATCAAACAGGGCCCATTGTTCAAGCAAGCTGTCCTTGCTCACAGGTACGTAAAAGAGGATAAGAGAATTAAACCGATTAACCTCAGACTTAGGTTTGGCCTTTGCAGCGTCAGCAACTTTAGGCTTCATCAGGTTCTGGCCAGCCTTTGTTGTGTTGCCAAGCTTGCTAGTGGATGCAAGTGGTGCTTTTCTAACTCTATCTTCCCTTGATGTTGTGGGTGCAACCTTGTGAAAATTGGCATTCTCAGTCAGTAGGACTGGAGTGTCCTTCTTACTGTCTGTGCCAAGTTTTGGCAGTGTGATGTTAGCAGGTGGGAAGCTGCATAAGACTGTGTTGAGACACAAGAGCGGCGTGTTGTTTCTGCTATCCACAGATACGCTATGTGGGACTATGCCGGGACGACAAAGGGGACAGATGTACCAAAACCACGGGCGCGGGTTATTTCTCATAAACTCGTAGTATGCTTTCGGCACCTCTTTGTCACAACAGTAGTGCACCCATCGTTTGCAAAAATTGCATTCAAATGCTGAGTCAGTTTTAGAAACTATGATACTGCACGCCTGGCACTCGTCTCCCTTACTTGATGACGCCTTCGAGGTCTTATGACGTCTTGAACGTTTGATTTTAGATATACTGTGTTTCACACACTGGCTTTCAGTTGATGCAGGTGTAGTATCCTGTCCCGCTAGTATTGCCTGTGCCATTTCAGTACTGGACTGTGGTAATGCAGGCGTAGTATCAGGACAGACGAGACTTACACGAGTCTTTAGGACTGTAATGCGGGGAGGGGTTGATGTCCCTGGGTTTTTGCCTTCTCTGGCTGAAGCCCTTGTGACTACAGAGTATGGTGTTTTAGTGCCTTTTCTAAGGCTACTTTCGACAGCCATATTCACAATCACTAAAACTTATGCTATATAAGCATAAGAGTGCAATAGTATTCTTGCGTTAGTATAATCCGTACAACTCGCGAACATCGATACCATTGTGGTGAGAGCTGTCTACTAGCCAAGTGGTGGACAGTAATTGAGGTCAATGTTTATGTATCAAATATTAGTCATGTTGTGGTGAGAGATGGTTGCTGGCCAGATTGGTTGACAGTAATTGAGGTCAAAGGTCAAGGTGGACAGGCGGATACAGTTAACATATAGATGAACTGACACAGCCACAAGCAATGCAAGGTTAACTTTGTGTGAGAAACAACCAATCAACAGACTGTATTTTCTAATAACGTTGACCTACAATAATGTACATAAAAATCTATAAAT